GTTTCAAGGGTGCACATAGACAATCTTCCTTTCTTTGTCAATTTCAAGTCGAAATTGAATTTCTGCGTGTGCACTTCTTATTCCTTTTCTCAGGAAGAACGGAGAGTAATTATATTTATTATGCAGGCTGATTCTTGAGCGTTTCAACAAACGATCTGCGTCAAAAGTTTCCTTAAATCGTCAGAGAGATAAATTTCGTCTTATTATTAATCTGTTCCTACCTTTGTCTCAATCATTTATTTACACACGTCCTAAATCTGAATCATTCCATGTGATTTGCGGTGCGGACGCGACGGTAGTAGTTCATCTATTCGGATGGCAGGCATCCGCATCAGGCAAGTGAAACTCTAGCGGAAGGAAGTCAGACCGTTTGACAATTGCGAGATCCAGCGCGCATGTGGCATTCCGACGACGCTGATCGTCGCTTTCGCCATATCTTATTTACACCGGAGTCGTGACCGCCGGCGGAAAAGGCGGCGTTTTTATCTTCACGGGGAATCTTCGTGAGAGAGACTCGCCCCGAAAATGTTCTTCTTGCTTCGGATGCGAACGGTCCATCGGCAGCTGCGAGGAGCGAGGACGCGCAGTGCGGAAAACTATCTTTCGTCGCGAGACGAGCCGGAAACTTTTCAATCGAGTTTCTTGTATGGAACGACGACGATGCCGCGTCTTCACTCACCCCCTCGCGTAGCGGCTTCGTTACGAGCTTTTTATTTTCGTCCCTTCGTTCCTGCGGCTCGTCCAGCCGGAACGAATCGGCGGCACCGAAGAAATCTCGATCGCGGTGAAGCTCAACCGAGTCGAACAAATATCTCCTCACGGTTTTCTGAGCGCGGAATGCCTTGCGCAAATTGTTCCGCCTTTACAAATTGTTAAAATTACAGTTATAATACATCAGCTATAATACATCTAACATGTTTGGGATATATGTTAAAGAATACACGTGAACTCTCTGTCCATGTGTTTTTGGAATTCGGAGGGCGTGAATTCTAAATAATTAATTTTAATAAAAATGAAAAATTATTTACATTTAAAAATTTTATTTTAGCGGACTAGCATAAAAAACAATTCGGAATTTTATGTGAGCGTTTATTTAAAAGGGATTTCTGTACAAATATTCATCTCAAATGGAATCATAATATAAGGCGGAGGAAGCGGAAATTGCGACCTCGGAATAATTCGCGAAACATCGAGAGTAATTTTATTGAATTACTCACTGGAAGTAATCAAAACTGATTGTTTCTAAATTGGAATATAACATCGGATAACTACAGTTAATTAATTATGTCGACAAATTACTTTCCTTGCAATATATAGGTGTAATCAAGCTAAAGCAGTAATAAAACTGTAAAAAATGGCAATCAAGCAATGCATATTCTATGTTGCTTGATGAATAAATAAAATATTGTAGTACAGAAAAATAATATAATTTCACGGATTCTGACACTTAAATGCGACACATTCAATGTACAACATTCAGTAAATATACCTAAAAAATAAGATGAACAGAGGTCTCACCAAGGAAATCTCGCTTCCAAGAGATTCGACATTACTGTAAAGCAATTAACAAATTAATCCTTCGGCGATGTTACATCGCTATCGGTGCGTACACTGTAAATTCAAGTGTGTTATTTTTACACGCATAAACGTCTAAAAATAACACATTTGACTGAAGCTCGTTTTACATGTTTTGTTGCGTGTTAAATTAATACGTATTAAATTAAAAGTTAATACGTTTATCTGTGTTAAATGACATGAATTAAAATGGCAAGAAATGTGCAAGAAGAGCTTCAGTTAAAATAACATACTTGGATTTGCAGCGCAGTACTTTTCTATGTGGACGTTTAATCGTATTAATAAATTAAAAGTTAATACGTTCAATCGTGTTAAATTACGTGATTTAAAAGTAAGAAATGTGTAATAAGAGTTAAAATAACACTCGGAAGGGAATTTGCAGCGTATTAAATTTCTTATATAAAATATCGCGAAGTGCGAAGATGAGACCAATTCTTCTAAAATTACAATCTAGTTTCTCTAAATGTAACTGAAAATTTAAGGAAATTCTATCTCATTGCGATAAACGAACGCGGTAGATTAAAGTTAATCGTGGCTGCACTGACAATGAGATCGAGTCGACTCATTATCTTGACGGTGCACAATCGGCTGCCAATCGGTCGAATAATTCGACTCGGTCCGATTTACGGTCAGAACGGTGCATTTAAACGATTACACGAGTCGGTGAATCGATTCTTCGATGAGGAACTGTAAATGATTAAGTACGGCAGGACGCGTTCTTGATCGTTGCCCATCTGAATTGGCGCTTCCTATTGAGGAACGCAATCGCTTTTGAGCTGACCGACCGTTGGTCAAGCGTCCTGATATTAAGCGTTTCCATGCATGGATCCATCGGAAATAGAATGTTCTAATACAAACACGATTGAAGTGTAAATATCACGTGTATATCTTGGATTTAAAAACTTCAAGAAGATATTAAAAAGATAAGGAAGATTTTAAATTTGCTTAAAAACCGCTAATAGTTCATTAATTTTACTGAACAAAATCTCTCTAAGTTTAATTTGTTTAAAAAAAACTGTGATTTTAATAAATTTATTAAAATTCAATATATTTTATATTCGTCTTTAGAAGACATTGAAATCTTGTTGAAAATCTTAAGGAAGGAATTTAGACATTTTGTCTATAATGGGATCATCTCGTATAAGAGAAGTTTGAGATCCGAAATTTCTTGCTACAATAAAGTTACTTATTCGCTAAATTCGCTAAATCATGGTCGTCTCTGAGAAAATGGTTCTCTCTCGAATATTCTCATTGTTCTTACGAAATTTATGTTCGCCATCAGAACTGATCCTGAACTCGACGAAGATTTGTGTCTCCGGTACTTGTTTTTCTGATCTCTAAAATCCCCCCTCCCCCCCTCCGGGTACTGAATTTAGTCTCTTTAAGACCTCAGTTTTGCCCGACTGCACAAAGGCCTTTTGTACATATTCGAAGTTTCAAACGCTAAAATTTCGCCGTGCCGCTTTTATATACTTGTCCTGAATATCTAGATGACAGAGAGAGCTCCAGCTTACTCCAATATTAAAGTAATGGCGCTTTTGTGTCCCTTCGAAAACGCTCGACTCAGCAGAGTGGAGTATACATATTGTAATTATCGGACGCATCTTCAATTCATCGTGCTGTTACAAAAATAACGATGTTTGTCGATACGGAAGAAGTATATCGCGCATCGGTTCTCGATTCACGTGTGATCGGGGGGTATAAGGTATAGGCTCGGTGGCATCGACGGCAGCCTCTATATCGGCGATTCGGAATGCCACCTGCGCGTGCCATAATACATTACTTAACGGCGAGTCACGTTTTTCCTGTTCACCCGCCTCACCCAGTTGTGCAACGCAACGTACGTGTTCGACGAGCGGGCGGCGGCGCGGAGGCGGTGAGGAAGACTCGTAAAATTTCATATACCAATGGCAGTAAAAGTTAACAGCTTGACGAAGTTGTTATTACACACACAATTTATTGTTAGTACACGCAAGTCGATGAAACAAATGCATTTATACAATATGCCGCGTTATGTGTAATGTAACATGTGCCGCCGCCGCCGCAGATGTGTCGTAAGAGATTGAAGTTCAATTTGGCACGAGAAGATCTCGAGAGACGCATTAAAATTTATTTAATCGAAAACACTTGCTCCCAAGACAAATTTTTTCGCGCAGCTTAATATATATTCTGAGAGAATCTATAATACACGTTTCACAATTTTGCGAATACACGTATCGCATTAATAATCGCACTCGCGCTCGTATTAACGGCGCTCGACAGAATTCATCGCTTAACGCTTTTCGTCTATCTCGTACTTGCATCTTGCCGATGGGACGACCGGTAAATTATTACTACGTAATTGATCGCGCGCGGCGCAATGCTCGGCGCTGGATTTACCCGCGGCTATTTACTCGCCGCACACTCGCACTCTCCCGAAAACACGGCGGGGCTGCTGGTGACGCAAGGACCGTTTTGCACGCTGCAGTTCAGCATGCGGTGCGAGCAAACGCATGCGTCACGGAGAACCGCGGGTCTTAGGAGTAAGTAATTTCGATGTTGCAGAGCCCAGCTGGCAAAGGGATGGTAATGGGTTGAAAACAAAGAGGGAAAGGGGAAGACTTGCGAGACGAAGACGCGAGCGCGCAAAGTTCCACAACTGCAACCTGCGCAACCTCTGTTGCCTGTCCCGAAATATGTTACGGCGTGTAATGTCGAGGAACTACGGCGATCGCAATATCGTCCTAGTCTGGGACAAAGTGCGTCTGTAACTTATTTCGCGACTGCGTTGACTGCCAACTGTCGTGCATTCGTTATCATTCGTTTTAAATGCAAATCCGCAAATCTGTCCGGCTGCAATCGCGCGCTAGCATTGTGAGCTATTTGTATACGAGGCGTCGCGTCGCGTCGTGTCATCAGCGTGCAAAAGTGGAATTTTCCGCGACTGACCTAAAAAAAAAATGTGATTTTCATCTTTGTGTAAGCGCGGTTTTTAAAGCGTGCGCGTAATGGAGCAAAAGTGCGATTGCATGTTTGTTTCATTCCGTCGAGACGTATAACGCGAAATATTGCTGACTTTCATTTTGTTCATAATTTTTGAAAATATTGAGTTGTGCAAATTCAATGCTGGTATTCTTTTTTTTCGAATGCAGGTTTGCGACACAGATCATAATAAGTACAAGATGCTATTTCAACAGAAAAATTTCTCTTAATTTGTGATACAAGATATCTCGAAAATCATTATACATGCAGCCTCTAAAAAATCCGGTATATTGTCAATTTAAGCGATATTGAATTTTTTACAATTATATTTTGACGTTTGCATGATTTAATCAATATCGTGGAGGGTGTTGATCGTCAGAGGATATTTATGCAGATGTATCCGAACCCTTCTCAGTCGCGAGCAAGTCAGATCGATTAACTTCCTTTCGTCTGTTTCCTTACAGACCAGATGAGCGACGTCTGCAAGAAGTACTTCCTGCGGGATCTCTACAGGAAGATAGACGGCGCCGTTCTTACCTCGCAAAATGAGAGGGACCTCGATTGCACCATTACTTTCCAGACTCACAGCATCCTCCAGCGGTTTATGCTCCGATTCGATCAGCTGCAGTTAGACTGCAACGACCATCTCTACATCTACGATGGCGCGCACGCGGTCGGCAGTTACAAGGTAAGTCGCAGCCATGAAATTCTACACGATGTGTATGTGTGTTTGTGTGTGTGTGCCGAACGATATTATCGAGAGCAGAGAGTGCTCGGCTCTGCGGCCTTCGTGGCGAATTATCGCGGGGGCTGCTTCGATAAGACATCTCACGTTTCCTTAATGATTTCGATCGAGAGGATAACGAACACGTATAAGACGAATAAATTCAGAAAAAAATTAATAAAGGGAAAAGAGATGAAATTCAAAAGAAATTGAGTTTGCTATAGTTTCGGTGAATCGAGATTTCAATATCATAGGATTCTTTATACGAAACTAGCCTCTATATCTGCCTATTCAGCGATGAAAGTAACATTTTCTCTGTGTGTCCGCGATATCGGAGACTGAACGCAGAGATTATCCCGTTTTGAAACTCCGCTGCCACATTATATTACATGGAGAGATTTAATTTACATTTTTATTATATTATGATTATCGGAGGCTACATTGCTGATTATTCGAATAAGGGTGCAAAACGCGCCGATACTGCAATTTGCGCGTGTAACCCTTCCCGCCTGTGTTAATGCGCGAATAAATATCTCTGGGCGTGGAGCTAAATTTTAGCGATATACTTCGCTTAATAAAGCGCAAAAAGTCAATTTGAATACACGAGTAAACGAACGAGTCAGCAGCTGCTCGGCGCGAGATTGTTTCGAGATGGAGGAATCGGGTCAAGGCGAGGTCGTGATAATATTCACGTGATCGCATAAAGCATATTCTTATGTAAAATAAACGAAATTATTAATGCGCGGCCGTGACAGTCGTCCTGTCGATCCGGTTTTCAGATTAGTCACCACCTTGAGGTTACTCAACACGAAATTGACGTGAGCCACCATTATGGATGTACGGATCAAAATCTCTCTATTATTTAGTTAACGAATACCTGCCGTTTCTAGGAACGCTAGGTAAATATAAGTATTGCATAGTGTGTGCCAAATGTTAATAGGGGCGAAGGTTAACTCTATGAGATAACCTTCTATAATAAGTTAACTCTAACTTGAGCTGAAGTTTTGCCTGATGAGGATTTGTATGTGTGATACATTAATGAGCGAATTACTTAATAATGAATATACGAAACGTTTAAACGACACACGATGAAAGTGCGCAAGGATATTATTTTTCAATTAATTCGCGATGAATTTTACTGCGGAGCAAGTTCTACACAAGAGTTAATTATTAAGCTACTTAATGCTATATAGCACGAAAGTGTTTAAAGGATCAACTGGGAGCCATTAAAACGCGGCAATTTGCGCTGAAATTGCTGCGTGGCTCGTGTTTCAACTAGAAATTGCAGACGGTATTAAACGTGCTAATACACGGTGTCATACGAGTTTGGTCTCGCCATTCAAGGCGAAAACAAAAATTTATAAATGGAACTGTGATATCATTCAGAGATAATATTAATTTTCATCTCTATCGCTATTTGTTATTCGCAAGCGCGCATTATGTTATTACGGTATTGTTAGTAATTATTTTTAGACATTTTCCCACTGACGGAGAAACCTGGGTTTTATGTAATATACTCACTCTCGGCGAAATACGGAAAAAAATTTAAAGAGTGAAGGCAAGTGAAGGTTAACTGCATGTGCGGGACTGCCTTTTACGTCTGTAAAAAATTCCTAAAAAAATTCTTTTCTGTAAACTAAATCGGCGGAATATGTGGGAAGAATTTTATTGTGCTTTAAAAGAATGAAGCACTTTAAAGGATGCTTCGAATAAAGGGCACTGCGAATATCAAGCTGTCAGAATCATAAATTTTGTATCATTATCAAAGAGATGCTGAAGATATGAACAATTAATATTTCAAAAAAAATGTCAAATACTGTCTTTGTAGATAATTAATATTTATATTTCATGTATTGATATTTCATTATCTATATATTAATGTAAAATATTTATATTATCCCATTACATATAATTATTGCTTGAGAAAAGATTGGAATAGATATATTCAATATAATTCGCAATCACATTCAATGCAAAACGAATTCTACTGCACTTCTTTTCTATTGGAGAGATATGAAGGGAGATCAATTTAAGAACCCTCATCCTCGATCCTTTTCGATTAATTCGCTGGCGAGACGGAGACATCAACGGCCGAAGATAACTCTGCGGCGAACGACTTTATTCAGCGAATCGCGGGGCCATTAACGAAAGATCGTGACTGATGTTGCACTCGCGTAACGTTTACGGTTTGCCATGAGGATTTTTCTTGGGTTTCCCTAACGATCGGCGTGTGCAGCCGATGCACTTCTCGCGTGCATTCGACGCGGACCGACCTAATTGCCGTCATCGATCAAAGACGCCGCGCTAATTGCGAGAAGAACGATGTTATTTTCTACGTTTAGAATGACGCTGTTGTGGGGAGAAAGCGAGCGAACGAGCGAGAGAAAGAGAGAGAGAGAGAGGGGGGGAGAAGGAGAGGCGAGAGAGAGAAAGATTCTTCTCTCAGGTTCGCCCGTGAGGTTGAATTTTAATGTATTCCACCCATTATGCATTCCGAACATGGCCGGCGCGGGACATGGTAACGCAAACTTGCGCCATTAATCAAGATTCGTTTCTTGAGAGAAGGAGGCGAACGGATTCAGTTCTTCCATTGTCTCAAGTTTTCTTCTTAGATTTTTCGCAACCGAGATATACTTCCGGAGTCTTCATAATAATAAAATACGTTGTTGACGCTTTGTTCCGTCTCTAATGTGTTTATCGCAAATAATAATTTCTGCATCGATCAGAAGAAAATTGATTGAGCGCAATGTCGATTATTGTAGCAATATAGCTTTTCACGTGTACTTTCGCGATTCGAGTGGAATGTCGCGACGGTATATTTCCCGAGCCAACATTCCCTGAAAAATGAATTCATTTTTTATAGCTCACCTACCTATGCATCCCGTGGATGCGTATCCGAGCACGAGCTTGTTTATTTATTAAGCGCACTCAATTACGCTTCCACACCGGTCGTAAACAACGCTCTCGTTCGCAGCCCGGCTGCAATATAGGGTGGCTAAAATCACATGCAATTCGATCTGTGTGTGTATAAAAATTACTTAAATAAGATAACAAAAGATATATATATGTATGTACCTATATATATATAAATTTACACGGTTTATTTGCAATAAAATCTATTTGTAAAAATATTATTTTGAAATGCTGTTTCAAATTGATTTAAAAGTACTCCAATTTTTTTACTCTCCAATAGTTCAAGAATAAGTGATTTGTCATATAGATATAGCCACTGTGTGTGTGGAAAATTTTAAAACTGCTAATAATTTTTAAATGATTTCGTCGTCAAGTATTATCTAAAAATAAAAATACTTTATTGTATCGAATGTGTCATTCTTCATATAATCTGAAGATTTAATAAACATACTATAGACTCGCCAGCGATAATAAATAGATTATACACTATTTAAATATTAGTTGCATCTTATTCTAGCCATCCCGTGTGTGTATTTGCTGCCGCGATATTCACGGTTTTCGAAGCTCAGAAGAGAGTGCGATTTTTGACATAATTTACGAAAAATAAGCGACACAATAATCCGCGGAATATCTTCCTAATTTAAATTATCTTCGGGCAGTTTTCGTCGCGCATATTTTACTCACGATACGCAAACGTCAAGTTTGTTTTATATATTACATCTGCATGTCGCTGATGCGCACAGGTACGCGTGTGACAAAGAACAGAGAGTCAGAGAGCAATTTTGCATAATGGTACTTTAACTTTAATCCTTTTTTATTTTCCTAATGGGCCATTAAGTATGCTTTTTTATTGCGTTACACTCTCCTCTCATTTTCAGATATGTTACCCGTCTTTTCATCAGAAAGACTTCTTTCCGTTTTTAGATGTGTTCGCGAAGCGCGCTCTTATCCCGATATGCTGTTTCTTCGGTAAAGTGCTGTATTTTGGAAAATAAAATACAATGTGTATCGCCCTTATCACATAGGACACGAAATGTATTATTCATCCTTCAGACTGAAACTTTTAGTGGAAGTCATAAATGTTACGTTGCAAGTTGAATACGAATAATAAGTGTGAATGAAGAATGAAACTTCAAAAGTAAAGAGCTAAGTTTATTATTTTCCACCGTGGAAAAACTTAGTTTCAATTTCAGAATTTTATTCTTGTGTGGATGTATGGTAATTCTTCTTTTAATTCTGACAACGGCCGAGATGGAAATTTGTTCGCGCAAAAAAAAAGATATTACGGGCGTTTGAATTGGAAAGATCTGCCAATTAATCCTAATGCTTTGAATATTATACATATTCAATCGTTGCGTTCTTCCTACGTATGAGTAGAACGGGTACGTTTTGTGTATGTGAGATGAGTACACAGAAAGGTGGAAAGCTCCTGTCGTGAGAAGTGCCTGGAGTTTTAATTTTCAAATTGCGTTGTTCCAATGCGACCGTTGTTAAGAGTTAACGATATTTTTAACATGATCCGCTTATACTCTTTTTCTTGTATTCCCGTCCTGCTGGATTAATTTGCGTCCTGGGATCCGGGAACAGGCGGTAAAGTTCCAATTTCGTAACTTGTAATTAACTTGGCCCGCTAAGCTAACTTCGTTCGCGAAAAAAAGAAATGTGGTGGCGCTACGGAGTTGGCGGAAAAATCTGCTCTTTAATTGCTAATTCAAATAACGTAATTAACTCCTTATCGATGAGGAGCACGCTTATTGTAGATTTTTCGCTCTGTCTTCGGTAAGAGTCGAGACAACGAACGAATTTATACATAATTGGAGGAAAAATCAAGTATTAGAATGTTTTTATAGAGAGAGAACTTCACGCGCGCAAAATCCGCCCAAGTGTAATAATTGCAAAGCGAGCTGTTTCATAACTTACTTTGCAATTAGTAGAGTAATTAAGCTGCACGGATTATTAACGGTATCAAAATGTTATAAAATCTTTTTCTCCGAGAAAAATACGTCTAGCTATATAGGGATGCTGAAAACGAGGGGTTGTATTATGACGGA